CACTTGGCAGTGTCTTCTGCTGAGTAAAGGCATGTGTTAAGGGTTTAGGGTTTAGGGTTTGCGGTTTGGGTAACGAAACCTATGCAGTCCTTAGGATTTAGGGTTTAGGGTTTAGGCTTTAGGGCATAGGGTATAGGGTTTAGCGTCGGGTTTTTAGTCGTCTTCACTACTCCAAGGCGTCAGCAGCAGCAGCAGCAGCGGCGGGGGAGATGAAGATTTTTTTTTTAATGCAGTAAACAGTATATGTCTATGACGCAGTGCATGCAGCTGCTGCTGCTGCTGTTGCTGCAGCAGCAGCCGCAGCAGCCGCCGCAGCAGCAGCCAAGTGCATGCAGCAGCAGCTGCTGCTCCTACAGAGAAGCAAAATACCAGTTTTATACTGCAGAATTCCGCAGATTGTGCAGCAGCAAACCCACTTAGACATCTCAGGGAGGGAAGGACTTGTGCTGCTGCTGCTGCTGCTGCAGTTGCTGCTGCTGCTGCTTCTGCATGCCCAGCATGCAGCAACAGCAGCAACAGCAGCAGCAACAGCAGATTTTGGATTGGCACCCTAAGAGGGTTTTACCTGCCTTGTTAGCAGCAAGGCCCTGCAGCTTCAGCAGGAAGCGCTGCTGTGGAGCGGCAGCAGCAGCAGCAGCTGCTGCAGCAGCAACAGCAGCAACAGCAGCAGTAGCAGCAGCAAAGGGAGGGAAAGAAGCACCCACAACACAGCAATATACACGCCAGCTGCTGCAGCAGCAGTAGCAGCAGCAGCACAATGGAATTATACAACGCCTCAGCAGATTTAGACGCCTTGACTGCAGCAAGAGTGTCTCAGCTTGCTGCTGCAGCAGGAGAGGCTCCAGGTGCTGCTGCAGCAGGAGAGGCTCCAGTTGCTGCTGCAGCAGGAGATGCTTCAGTTGCTGCTGCGGCAGAAGTGTCTTCGCTAGCTGCTGCAGCAGGAGCGGCTTCACCTGGTGCTGCAGAAGGAGAGGCTTCACCTGGTGCAGCAGCAGCAGAGGCTTCACTTGCTGCTGCAGCGGGAGATGCTCCAGGTGCTGTTGCTGCGGATGCTGCTGCAGCGTCAGATCAACGGACAGCAACGCCAGATGCTGCAGCAGCAGCAACACCTGCTTCTGCTGCTGCAGCAGGAGATCTAGAGGCAGCGCCACCGAGCGAATCAGCAGCAGCAGAAGCAGCGGCACCAGAAGAAGCAGCAGCACCCGCAGCAGCAGCAGCACCCGCAGCAGCAGAAGAGTCTCCTGCAGCTGCAGACAATGGGCAAGCAGCTGATGCTCAAAGTGCTGCTGCTACAGCAGCAGCAACACCTAAAGCACCCTCTGCTGCACCAGCAGCAATGCCAGCAGCAAATATAACAAACGAGGCGACACCAGAAGCGGCAGCACCTGCAGCAGCAGCAGCAGCACCTGCAGCAGCAGCAGCAGCAGAAGGAGCGCTGCCAGCAACTGTGAAGCCAGAGAGACTTTCTGCTGCTGAAAGGACCTCTCCTTCGAGCAGCAGCAGCAGCTGCAGCAGGAGCAACAGCACAGGCAGGAGCAAGGGAGACAGCAGCAGCAGCAGCAGCAGCAGCAAGGCAGAAGCTACTCCCCACAAGAGGAAGGCTACAGAGCGCAGCAGCAGCAGCAACAGCAGCAGCAGCAGCAGCAAAGTAAAGAAACGCAAGAGCGCCACAGGGGCCTCCTCGGGTGCTGCTGCTAGGCCAAGCTACAGCAGCAGCAGTAGCAGCAGCAGCGACAGCAGCAGCAGCAGCAGCGACAGCAGCAGCAGCGGAAGTGAAAGCAGCTCAGACGATGAGGTGCGTGTACACCTCAATCCCTCTCAGGTTTTAGGGGTTCTAGGGTTTAGGGTTTTTAGGGTTTAGGGTTTGGGGTTGAGGCATTATTGCGAAGTGCGTTGTGCTGCTGCTGCTGCAGGAGCTGGCCCTGCTGCAGCAGCAGGAGCAGCAGCAACTGGCGCCGCTGCTGCAGCAGGTGCTGCAGCAGCTACGAAGTATGTTTGAAGAGCAGGTGCAGCAAGCAGCAAATCTAAGACAGAAGCAAATTGAGCTGACGGGGCTCTGCCCTATCACCAACCAGGCACGCAAACCCTAAACCCTAAACCCTAAACCCTCATTTGCAAACCCTAGACCCTCATTTGCAAACCCTAAACCCTCTTATGCAAACCCTAAACCCTAATAATTGTAGCGGAAGGAGCAATGAAACGGAGCGGCGCTGCAGGGGGATTGTGTGCACAAGCGCGATCAGCTAGGGTTTAGGGTTTAGGGCTTAGGGTTTAGGGTTTAGGGTTTAGGGTTTAGGGTTTAGGGTTTGCGATGCAGGGAACACCCAATTCACTTTTGCTGCGGCCTCCGCCTCCTCATATTCCGTACACCAAACTCCTCAAGTGCCACAAATTCTGTAACTTGCAAACCCTAAACCCTAAACCCTAAACCCTAAACCCTAATCTGCATCTATGAGAGAAGGCATCCCGGGCTTTACGCTGAAACCCTAAACCCTATCTAAAGAGGAAACCCTAAACCCTAAAATGCGTTTTGCAAGCCTGACAAGGCGAAAAAACCCAAACCCTAAACCCTAAACCCCCGCACACTTTGAAGTCTAAACCCTAAACCCTAATTCGGAATACACAAACCCTTCTCTCAAATCGGCAAACCCTCAGCTGCAGGCCTCAAGGTGTGGCATCCATATGCTTGAATCGTAGAAGGGGCATGATGGTTTTAGGGTTTAGGGTTTAGGGTTTAGGGTTTAGCGTTTAGGGTTTGTGTGGTGGTGCTGCAGTCCGGCGGCAAAGGAACCAGCTGCTGCTGCAGCGTGTAGCAGCAGCAGCAGCAGGAGAGGAGCTGCTGCTGCCTTCCTTTAACGAGGAGACAGTTGCTGCTGCTCTAAACCAGCTGGAGACA